AAAAAAAAAAAAAAATTGTTGTCAAATGTTTATTGTTATCTTTGTAGGAAAACTGGTTGAGAAGAGGAAGCATGTTGACGCAGCCATAGTTTTGGAACAGTATGCCCAGGTAAACTCCATTCTTCCTTCAACCCCCACCCAGTGAATTAAGAAAGAATTTCTTAATGAAATTCTTTTTACTGATCATGAAAAGTGAAAATCTAAATTCAGTACATTTCTAAATAATAAGTTTGGTGAGGTAGAATACCACAGAGCATTAATATGCGTATGATCATATAAACCAGTGATTTGACCTTGTTTAGAAGTACTAAATTAAGTCTTAAGGTGGTTGTGCTTTTTGTTAATTTTGCTAAAGTAGAAACAGTGAGAAGGCACCATTATGAAACAGAGTTAATTGGACGTTATATTCTTCTTTGGCTTTTATTTCCATTCTCTCTACTGGAAAATGGTTATTTACCTCAGGCAATTTTAGGGGTTCTAGTTTTATAGCAGATTGTAAGGATAAATACCCATATGAGCTTTTGATAAAATTATAGGATTCAGGTCTGTAATCCTAAATCTCTGGGAGGCTGAGGCAGGAAGATAGCTTAAGGTCAGGCATTTGAAACCAGCCTGAGCAAGAGTAAGACCCCATCTCTGCTAAAAATAGAAAAATTAGCTGGGCATGATGGTGGGAGGCTGAGGCAAGAGGATCACTTAAGCCCAGGAGTTTGAGGTTGCTATGAGCTATACTGACACCACAGCACTCTAGCCTGGGCAACAGAGTTGAGACTTCATCTTAAAAAAAAAAAAAAGAATTACAGGATTCATTATGAAAATAATAAAACCACACTGACACTGGCCAAAGACTAACAGTACACAGGTATACAATTGACACCAGAAATTACTGCTTTGTAAAAGTTTTGGTCTTTAATAAAAGTGTTTTTTTATAGTTGTTTCTTATAGGCACATTTATGTAACATACTTGTGCTTTCAAAATATTTTAGTATCTGTCATATAAAGGAGGTGAAAGAAGATAACTGAAATTTTATATTATTAGACCCTGGAGAGAAAGTATGTTGGGTGTGTGAGTTGAAAACATCAATGAATAAAATATGCCTAAGAGAGGGAGGTGCCACTAGCTCAGTGGGTAAGGTGCCAGCCACATACACCGAGGCTGGCAGGTTCGAACTCAGCCTGGACCTGCTAAAACAACGATGACACCTGCAGCAAAAAAATAGTTGAGTGGGCTCAGCACCTGTGGCTCCAGTGGCTAAGGTGCCAGCCACATGCACCTAAGATGGCGGGCCCACCAAACAACAATGATGGCTGCAACCGAAAAATAGC